CCTCTCTGCAGCAGTGCCAAAGGAGCACATCATCCCCTCTCTTCCCTTTTATACCTCCCATCTCTGCAGGGTGAGCCGTGGCCACAGGTGAGCTCAGCCAGGACCAGCCTCCGCCCACACCTGCAAACACCCCTGATGGCTCTAACCCTCCGTCCGCGAACAGCACCGGGCTGGTGCCTCTCGCTCCCTGACACTGGAGTCTGTGAAATTCCACAAGAAGAATGAGAATACTGCCATTTGTTTCACAGCGCAGAGTTAAACCTCCTGTGTTTCTTGTATTTCAGGTTGGTCTTTATCAGTATATTACAGCTTTCCTCATCACATGGATTCCATTTTTCAAAAATACTGATACTAAAATACTAAGCAGCAGCATCTCTCCATCTGTGTGATCACCATTTATTGCTGCCACATGTTGCATGAAAATCCCAATCACAAAGTTCTCACCTGCACCAGCCGTCCCCAGACACCGAGTGTGTAAGATTCACACCACCTGGTCCCCCAGGCTCCTACCACGTTATCAGCCCCAGGGCAAACTGCTGTCAGAAGTAAAAGAGATGCCTACGTTTCTAAACAATGAGATAATGGAAATCCTAACAATGAGAAAAATATAGGTAACATGAAGAGAGTTCAGAAATTGAGACAGATGCTTGAAAGAGGCTCTTGTTTTAAATCCTATCTCAGTTAAAGGAAAACTGTAAAGATTGCTGAAACATAACCTTTTATATTTATTTGTGCACCTATATTTATATCTTTTACACAAGGATGAGAGTATGTATATGTGTGTTTTCAAAGATCTGTAAATATTACACGCATGTAGACACACTCAGCCTATGTGTGGAGAACTTGCTCAGTTTACGGGAACAAGAGTTTGGAAATCTCTTTCCAAAAAAGAGGCATATCTTAACTGCCGTTGCCCTTGCTGCCTGAACTCAGGTCCCTTGTGCATGCTTGCTGTGACACATCTTTAATCACCTCCTGATCCGCACTTTTTTCCCTCCTGTGGTTCTTGTGCCACTGGGAAGGATGACCGTCCCTCAGCAAGGACCTCCTCAGCCACCGCAATGGACCCCTTCACAAAGCGTGTGGTCAATTCATCCGACTGCAGTGACTAAAATGACTTGTGTTGTAGCCATGCAAAATAACACAAAGACTGTGACCTGACAGCGAGCTGCTTTGCTGCACTGAAAGAACTAGCACCTCTGCTCCAGAAATGCCACTGGTGGTGGGCGTCAATGGGTGCTGTCACCCCAAACTCACCTGTGTCCATCAGAGCCCCCTGTGAGGAGTCTCCAGCCCTCTCTGCCCTGCAGTGCTACATCAGCATCCCACCTGCAGCTGCTGCCTGCTTCTGGGGTCCCAAAAATGAAAATTATTTATGGTATTTTCATTAAGAAGAAAAAGAGAAAGAAATTATAAGGGTTCTCTGACTGTCCGCACTCTGTAAGAAATATTTAGAAAAATGAGACCCTTTTCAGATTCCAGCATATTCATTTCAGTGTGACACTTCAGGCATGGTTTAACTTCCCCCTCCCGCAACTGCTTTAGAAAATCTCTGCTGCAACTGTATTTAAGTCCTTTCTAAAGACCTGCTTCTGCTATGATGCCCACATAGAATATTCATGGTGGTTATTCCCCTTCTGACGTTTGTCCTTAATTTGCAAGCATCTGTGAGCACAAACCACTGCTCCTGAATTGTGTGAAGGGGTTCCCTTGCTCGTTCAGGTCCACCCTAAGCAAATAAAGAATGCAGAAAGCTGACAAAATGCAGAACCCGTTCTCTGTGTGCACAGCACCTCACAGACCAATATCCTAAATTTGCCATTAGTTCTTTGATTAAGCACATAACTGAATGAGGCTGAAGCAGTGCAGAAACAGCGAAGCCATGCCACTTGGCCGCTCAGCCTCTGCCGGCTGCACCGCAGGGGGAACGCTGCACGGTGCACTTTGTATAACAGTTTGCGGATGAGCATGATTCAAAACGCACCCATCAAACCTGCTCTGGTCATGAAGGCTTCACACAACCATAATTACTGACACATTAACCTGTAATTGATAAATCATCTCCCATTTATGTCTTCTTTGCTTTACCTGAGAAGACACCTGCCTTGACGTGGAAAGGACTGGTCTTAGGAAATGACTGAGATGAGCAGTTCCCTTCTTTCAAATGTTTGTAGTATTTTTGGTGTGATTCATCAGACATTCAGAGGTTTACATCTGAACTTGTTACTGAGCCAGACACCCTTTGCAGTCTACAGAGAAATCCAGGCTCTTCCAGGTGTCCCAGGAGATTAATCTCACCGTGGTCTGCTGATTTGCAAATACTGATGAGTTTCTTTCCCCATTTCTCCCTAGATCACAACATGTGCACTGCAGCAGAATCAAACACACTGAAAAGCCTTTTAGGAGCCAGCCACATCCTCCGATTCAGACAGAGTACCTGATTTTCTTTCTTTGCCCACAGAGGTGAACACTTACACAGCAGGTACCATCATGGCATGTGGTTGCAGGACAGTCCCCAGTCTGCTTGCTGGAGTAATTCACACAGCTATTACTGTCTTTGCGGGACCCATGTTCCATCATGACGCACGCAGGCTGCACTGAGGCTCGGTCTCAGGGAAACTCCGAGAAGGGCTGAGCATATCTTTAGTGCAATCAGCCACTGCAGAACTCACCACAGACCTCTGGCTGCCCCTCTCACACTGATGGCTACAAGTGCAACTTCCCAACAGCCAGTTTGAACATTTTTCCACTAACTATCTCCATGGGCTTGCCAGGCCTTTGCAATCATCTGTCACAGCCGCTACCATTACACTTCATGGTGCAGAAATGAAATGCCACCTTTTTACAAAGCCAAGATAATGTTATTGAAATTTTCTTTCAAAACCAAGCTGTTGGCCTGACCGACTGGCGTGTTTATCAACCTGCTCGCCACCAGCACCTTGTAAGGGGCCCGCATCAAAGAGTTTGCATGAAATCCAAGGAGGAATCTGCCAGCAACACTTCAAGAACGCAATGGTGTGACACATAAGGATGCACAGCTATATATAAGGCTGCTTTCCTTTTAACATGTTCTTCTGTCTCCCGGGGAACAAGATTGTTCTTGACAGCTGCTAATAAGAACTGATCTAAGTAGCTGCCCGCTTCTGCACACGTCCAGGCGAAGACAGCATCTAGGCCTGCGGACTGTGGGAGACGTATCTTTCTGAAATCAAAGAAATACACAGCTCTGAAATTACCGGCAGTCACCCAATTCATTTACTTTTAACACTCAATCTCCCCCGCTGTTTACTTGCACTTTCACTGCATTACTTTCTGAATTGCTGGGAAAAACGTTCATATACCAGAGGAGATGACCAGACCTGGTCATCTATCTAATAGTTTATTTTGGTTTCTTTTTTTTGTTTTTTCTAAATAATCAAAAAAGTAGTTGCGCTGAAGTTTCTGCCAAGTTTTATCCCAATGGAACTCAATTCAAGCAACCCAGAAAGCCCTTCAACAGCAAATGAAGGACTCTCAATCACGAGGTATGATGCAAGTTACACAGTTGGGTATGGTTTGTAAAAAAATGCGCTGCTTATTTTTTCTTTAAATATGCTGAAGTGTTATGGGGGCCTTGTGCTGGCTCTTAACAGCTGACATTTACCCTCTGGATTATTGAAAATCTACATCCCATAGAAGACAGCGATAAGTACTGAGATCCCGCATTGTCCTTTGCAACAGAACCACTGAGAAGCAACAGAGGGCAAATCCAAAAATAGGTCGTTCAGCTTCTCTCCATCAGCTCACTGCAGGGTATATTGTCAATTTAATTTCTTCATTTAGTTCCTTCTGCTTCCCGTAACACTTGCTTTCAAATCACAACAGTACATGGGAGTAGGATATGCCAGCTGGCTTTGCAATTTTTTGTACACACGGAACTTCAGCCTTCGAAGGAGATTAACCTTCAGTCAAGATTAAGATGCACACAATGTAGTGGAGGAGAAGCCAGCAGCATACAGCACCATGGAACTGGACAAACACAAGGTACGCTTCACTCTGGTACCTCATAGATTTGCATTAAAGTTTTCACAAAGGAAAAAGAATGTTTAAAAAAAAATGTGCACGGAGGCATGTAGGTAAGCTTTTACCAGGGAGGGAGGGTCATACAGAAATGGATTGCCTCATGGCACTGCTAAAGAATAAAAATATGTCTTAAGCTTCAGGGTAAATCACTGAAATCCCAGTGTATTTGAAACATCAGCAGTGTTTCGGGAGTATGATGCCATGATACCATATTCTCTGAGTACCTGTCCCGGTGAGGTTGAGCTTCCTTTTCTTACTCAGAATTACACTTTTAATCATTTAAAATCATAATCATTTTCTGCTTGGAAAATACAACCTATCTATTTTTTTTTAAGCAGCAGACAATAACAAAACAAATCCTCATTACCAAGCAGAATGATTGCAAACTTATTTTCATGGTTTCTCTGGCATCTTCCAGGGCAAATCTCGGCCAAGCTCCTACAAACGTTCCCGTGGAACAGGGAAAGGCACATCGATCCTTTATCGCCATCTAGTGACCAAAGTTGTTGCCGCTGTCACACCAAACTGGACCACAAATCTGGGGAATTTTCAAACCCGCGAAAGGGAGGTTGCCTCTCACCCTTAACGCTGTGGTACCCGATCCACATCCCTTAAGGACCCTCAGACCTCAGGTCTGTAGTAAGTGTAGGGCACTGCTGCTGTCATACCGTCCTTTGTCTGTGAGTCCTTCACCCTCCCTCTAGAGCGCAGCAATTTAGAAAGAGGTCACGCTAGAAAAATGAACAGCCTTTTGTCCCCAGGGAGCTCAGCAAGTTGGGAACGGGGGTGACCTTGCCGGACAGGGAGAGCACAGCATCCCCAGGACCAGGGTAACCTTCACGTGGCTGTGACAGCCATGGCCTCACCCTGGAACAAGGAAGGAGTCATTGGTTTTAGGTATTTTCAAGGCCCTCCAGAGAGGCATTAGGCTCACGTTTTCAGGGGCTCACAGGAGGCTCTCCTTGCTGAGACGAACTGCCAGCAGCCGGCACTCGCACCAGCGCAGCGGGCACACGGGGTGCCTCGGGGGACGCCAGGAGCACTCCAGCCCTCGGACACTCGGCCGCTGGTCTCTTTGTCCAGATGCCGCTGCCCTTAACCCAGCAGGGCGCCGCAGCCCTCAGTCGCCGAGCGGCAGCAGTGCCGGGACCGTCGGGGGACAGCGGCAGTTCCGCACACACCGAGAGCCGCACGGCGGCACTGCGGTCTGCAGCGCCCAAACGAGCGCGGTGGTTCCTCAGCGCAGAGGGAATACTGCTTTGTCGTAAGCCAGGCCTCGCTCCGCCCCCCCC